CTTGCCATTGATGGATTCCCACAAGACGTATACAGCATGCAGTCTCAATCAAGTCGACAATCTCAACGGACCTAGTGAACCAATCCATCGGGCTGGCTACGCCAATATAGCTTTTGTGCTGCAAGAGCATACTTGGCTCACCTTGTCCAGTCCTGCTGTCTGGATAATATGTCCACCAAAATGCCGACTGTAGCTATGTACTACGACGATGATGATGATGTTGGACAAGACCACCTGAGAGGATTCTGAGAGTTGAGTGACGCCTTTGTCGTACCATTTCACCCATAGCTCCCGTCTCACCTTTTTTTTGTTTCACCATTCCTATTGACTACGTGACTGTGTCACTGCTAGTCTTCAGGAATGTTTCAGACATGTGATTCGTTATGCCCGTGCGGCTTACCCTGGGTGATTTCGGGGCTCCTGGCTGGGGGAGCCCTGGTTTCCGCTCAGAGTTTTGTTGCTTCCTTCACATGTCTTTCTGTATGGCGATGTCTTTGTTTCTTTGCTGTGCTTTTGATTGTTTATTTCACGCCATACTGATGACTCTGCGATGATGCATAAGACATCACTTTTCTCCGACTGAGCTGGCCCTGTCCACAATGCCGGTTTTGCGTTTTGTGTGTTTTGTTTGTTGTTTGGCGTGTTGTTTTTTTCTGTTTTTGCTTTTTGTCTTGTTCTGTGTTGTGGTTTTCGGCATTGTGACTACCATCCAGGACTGTGTAGCCGGTCCCTATGCCAGCATTACGGTTGGGTTCATTGATGCGCCGTGAAGGCATTTGTATCACGACCCAATTGTTGCAATTAATTCGTTTCATGCACTATGATCGACCTGGCGAAAGCCAAGAGGCGATGGACGGAAAAAAAAACCATCCGAGATATTTACCCCAAAGCTTTGCTGAAAAACGATCCTTTGCATGCGGCAGCTATCAGACAAGTCGTCAGTTGTCAGCTCCTTTTGGTTCGCCTTTTTATCATTTTGAGGCGTTTGTCTTTTGAAGGATGTGGTGTTTTTGTTTCTGTCGAAGTATTTCAATTCAATGGTACTACTAGTCAGGTATCTGGATTTTAGAGATCCCGGGTTTGCAAGCACGGTTTGCTTGGAATAAGCTAGCGCCCTTCGAAGAAGATGATTGCCTTATTTCAAGCTAACGTCGAACAAAGGCAGAGGTTTTCGTAAAGTTTGGCAGAGGAGTCAGAGGAGTTTCCTAAGTGTGTGCAAGTGCAAATACAGTGTCTGCGATCCTGAAAAGCATAGAAATACACGTGTTCTTTGTGAAGCAAGTGTGGCCGGAGACTAGGGAAGGGAGTGGTCATAAATGCTGGTTTTCATCTTGTTCTTGAGAATTCAGTATCACAAGTGTTTTGTTTTGTTTTCCTCTTGTTTGTGAATCGAAGTACTGAGTATTCGCATCCACACTGCCCCGTGTTCCAAAGGTCTTTGAGGGCAACACCTTTCTTCAGGTGGGGTCGGTTAAACCGACCTCACCACCACTGGTTTACCCTACCACTGCGGCAAGGGCCGCGGCCAATTGTGGGGAAGATAGACGTAGATGCCACGGGGCGGTTCCAAAGGAACCTCGCCGTGTGGCGTCTGCAGGAGTTTTTGCAGCACCACAAAAAGTGAAAACATGATCGAATTGTTATTGTTGCTGGTTATGATTCCCACTTAAGTGGAAGGTACCAAAACCAGAGGTTCATACACGATAATTTAAAAAATTGGGTGGCAACCATTATTAGCACATCATATTTTGTTGGGGGACCAGAATGATATATACTTTGCATTGTTGTTTGTTTTTCATTTATATATATATATATTAATTTATAATATGAAAGCAACTGGAAATTGGAAACGTATAATACGCCATTTATGGCCAACCATTATACTACCTTCGCCTACCAAACTAAACCTGACCCAAGTGAGATTGGAAGGCTGGTGGTACCGGACCAGAATCGGCTTGTCTCTTCCCCCACAACACGTTCAGGCATCAAGGCCCTTTCCAGCGGGAATGATGGTTCTAAAACCATTCCAAACGACTGCCACTTGGAAATTAATTGGACCGAATAGTTCACCGTTTCCCTGTTGGCTGTGATGTGGATGTGGAAGAAGAAAACATCACACAACGCAGTCTATTTCTCTTCTCTGACGAAGCAGATAGCAAGCGACAGAACCACAGCCACCGTTTCCAACTTTCACAGCTCCCTCGACTCTCTCTCTTTCTCTCGGACTGGTAGGTGATTTCACAACCACAAAACCATCATAAAATATCATAAATATATACAATCCATATATCAATGGGAAAAAAACGCTCAACTTAGCGAGGTTTCATCATCTATGGGATGATCCTTGTGCTGAAATGAGATAGACCCCAGTCCAGTTTCGGTGGTAAGGATCTAGTGATGTCAATATAGTCGTCATGTTGGTGTATGTTTTAGTTATTTTTTGATTCCCCAACCCCTAGTAGGCCTAGGCATCTCCACATTGCGCACGCACGCACACCAAAAAACGGTGCCTTGCCATGGCTTTTCACCGTGCTTGTCACCGCGAGAGCAGGCGAGCATGGACCGCAATGCGGGGCCTGATTCATGGGAGTTTGTCTGTGGGCTGATTCACGGGCTCAACCACAGCAACCTCTCTGGCACAATTTTTCATTCCCCAACCCCTAGTAGGCCTAGGCCAACGGCGCCTTGCCATGGCTGGATGTGAACCGAGGGACCCTCGGCAGCGAAGGCATCCGAAATAAAAACATCACCCGGTGAAAACCCATATGGCCCATGAATAATGCACTTTTATAGATACCCGATTTAGATAATTGTCTAGTTTTTGTTTCTCATTAGAATTTGTAGACAGCGGTATCCCAATGATTGTTGGGCGTTGCACATCTTTTTTCGATCGTATTTGGCATGGTCATTGCAAGTGACCAATACTTGTGGGATGGGTTGACACGACCAATAACTTGTAGTATTTGGCCAAAATCCAGACCCCATGGAGGCACAGTCGGAACCAGTTTTCCATGGGGATGAAAACCTAACCTTGAGACAAGCCCTGCGACACGGCAATCCATCAGCAGCAAAATAAACAGTCACACTGAGAAATCGGCGTCACCGGTGTCACCTAACAATGTTCATTGGGAAAGTAAAGGCTGCGCCTCAGTAATCTACATGGATGTGCACCTCCAGAATCTTAAGCGCTTAAGAACCTATGTATAATTGGGGATCCATATACGCCTGGGGTATCACCATGAATATTGACGACATGCAAACTGGGACGCACATTGAAGTAGAGAGTCTGCCTGTACCAACCTTAAGTATCCACCGTTGTGCGTACGAGTGCAGACTCACAAAAACAGAAGTGAAACAGACAAAGCTGCTTAGTGGATTCATTCCTATAGTGGTTGGTTGTATTTCAAGGCTTATTAGTTCAAAGACAACCATGGTATAAATGAATCCACGCAACCACCAGCCCATTGATGGTGACTTCACTCCATTTAGGGACAGGATTCTATTCCCTTGGCAGGTCGTTGCGAAGAAAGTCTCCAATCCCCACATGCCATCCGCTTGAAATTGGAGTACAACAATAGTGCAGATGATCTGTTCCTTACCTCGACTGGAAGTGAAATGCACAAGTGACTCCCGCCCAATCGTTCGTTCACAGATATGCTTCCATGTTCCAAGGTGCAACTGGTTTGGAAAGTAGAAAAGGTTTCCAAGCAAGATCTTTATTTTTCATTTCCACTCCTTCAGAATGTAGACAAGATACATGTCGCAAGGGCAGCCTTATACTTATACCTCAACTCAAAACTTTTTCAGAAGTGCCAATTTTTGGTCTTAGGATTTGACATGTGGAGAGGTTCAGCGGTCGGTGATCAATCTATTGTCAATTCCATGGCAACTCTTCAACCAATTTTCAGGTCTGGAGCTAGTTGAAGGGTTTTCCTGCATAAAATGTGAAATTCTCATGTTGCTGCGTGTTGATGATTTTCCCAACACAAGTTCTGCTCTATGTTTTGAAGGCATTAGAAGCCTCTTTGAGCCTAGGAGTTAGAGCCTACATTCCCGCAATTCCTGGGTTTCACCGGCACTTTCCGGTACCAGATGCTGCTGGATCCTTCCAGGTTGTGCCAGCACTGCAAGGCTGAGAGTGGGAAACCCGGCTGTGAGTCCACTGATAAATTCCTCAACTGACCACAGGCATGTCATAGAAATTATTTGGGGGCTGCGCAGGTGTGGAATTGGCTCAGATGTTTGCCTTGAATCAGAGTGGGACCCCCCATTTGTGAAAGCAACACATCTTCGGATGATTAATGTGCTTTCAGTTGTGCGGTTCATGATTCCCTGTCTGTCTCTCCATACCAACAGCAACCCATGATCTTTCGAAGATGTTGACACATTCCCAGAGTTTCAAGCATCTCATGCTGACCAGATTCTGTCGCCTGGTGTTTGGTCAGGACAGTTTCCAAGATCGTTTTCTTGGAGCCGGAAAAAAGTCCCGCTGCCCCACCTGGTTTGAAGGACATCCTCCTTAGTAGATTGTGTGACTCCAAGTTTTTTGATGGAACATAAAGGCAAAACTGGCCAAGAAAGCAAGAGTGGATAGTTTGGTTTCTTCTTTGGGGTTCAGTGTTAGTTTTACCAGTTTGAAGGAGAACTCATGTGTCACTAATCCGTTTTCTCAGCGTGGCATCTTGACATGATACAAAGCCAAAGCATTTGCATGAACCCAGGGCAGAGCAAACATATTGCCACGTCTCTTAGTTCAAACTCTTACTATGGGCTATGCGGCTATTCCACAAAAGCATTGAGTAACCAGAGACATTTTCATAGTGCACAAGCGATAGTTGCGGAGCCTGCGCGCCATGTGCGAAGCACCACGCAACAAGAAAAGACACCCATCGCAACACCAGAACTTTACAATCAGCGATCGCAGTCCGCATGCTGCAAAGCAATGGACAAGCATCTGAAGTTTTTCAATGTTGTGTTTTGATTCAAATTTCTTTGCATGTTCACTTGCACAAATCACATCAAGCACAAGTTCAGTCATGACTGGAGTGTGGGGAGTCTCAGAGGTCGACAGTGAATCATCCGCGGGTCCGCGGGTTGCGTTTTCGGGAGTTTTGATTTCCAAATCTTGCGAAACGCTTCTACTGGGTTTACTGATTTCCTGTGGTAAGCTTCGTGGGAATATAGTCAAGAGTCTTGGTTTTGGACATGGTAGAAAGTCTTCCAATTAGCAGGTGAAGAATCGACTCAGATGACATAGAAAGTGGCCCCGAGCTAGGCCCTTCCATGATTGGACAGGCCGGTGGGTGCGTTGGCTCCGGAAATCAGATCGTTTCAACGACGACAAGTCGCGATTTGGATCGCTTTGTTGAGTGGAAACCAATATGAAATTGACTGTCATAGTGGAATATTGAGTGAAAATCATCTTTCCCAAAGTCACTATTTGGTAGTCATCATTCAAACAGTTTCTGCTTTTTGCATAGTGTTTGGTTTTGGGTGAAGCGAGACAGCTTTAGACCACGGATTTCTTTGCAGCTTGACATTGACATTTATAATCCATACATAACCCGTATTTCATCTCATTATATATATACACATTATATTGATATTATATATATATATAATAGATATATACATATATATAATACATATACATATATTGATATTGTATATTTATACATATATATATATATATACATATTGATTGTAGGGTATATTCCATATAACTGAGTTTTTTTTCCACCCATTTCCTAAGTGGGATGCCCCTCGATGGCGTTGCTCGCGCCAGACTCCCAAGCCGAGCAGCACGGAGACCTGGATGTTTGCACTGCTGGTGTTGCACACTTTTACTGGACTTGATGAACATTGTAAAAATAAGAGTAAGTAAAGTAGAAAGTAATTTATGATCATTTCCCACTGGATTTTATGTTCAGTAAAAGTGTGCGCTGAAATTGGAGTGGAAGTGAAAGTTTTCAGAACACTGTAATCATCAGAGTTTGGTGCTGAAATTGGAGTGGAAGCTGGCAAGCCCCTGCCTGTGTAATTCCAAAGCAGTCAACCAAACTTTGCAATGCAGCCATCCACGCCTCGCCGCAACGCAGCCATCCACGTCCTCAAGTGACCCGTGGCCACGTGGACTGCAAAATGCATTTCTTCTACCTGGAGGTGAGGGGGCTGTTTTTTAGAGCTGAACTAGCTGAGTCAATGGGGCTCAAGTCCACTACCCTCTGGTAAACTAACATAGCCATGGAAAATCACTATTTTTTATAGGTAAATCAACTTTTATAGTCACTATTATTTATAGTTGATTTACCTTTCAACTAACATAGCTATGGGGATTTACCCTCTGGTAAACTAACATAGCTATGGTAAATCAACTATTTCTATGGTCCATTTTCAATAGCTTTTTGTATGTTGACCAGAGGCTATGCAAAGATGACTGGGTTTCACCAGCAGAATTGTGGATCATGAAGCGTTTGGCTGGGTGTGATTTGTAGCCGTATGGAAAAACATGATATATCATAATATCAATCCATATCATATTATCACATAATTATTGATAGATATATCTATATCTATAATATATATATAATATATATATATATACACATATTATCCCCATATTTGTTGGTGAATCAAATTCCTCGCGGAAAGCAGCTGCCCGAAAATTCCAGGTGCTGCTGACCGCACTGCCTGTGCTGGGGCTGCGAGAGATTTCCTCCAAGCACCTCAGTGAGGCATCGAACTCCCCAGAGTTGGGATGCTAATGTTACCGTAACTTTTTGAGTAAAGCACTAATAAACCACCCAGATTTTAATAGAAATTGATAGTTTATAGCACCACATAACTTTTTTTTTGATGTGTGGGATGGTTTACTATTGCTTTGCTCACATTACTACAATCTGCGGGTGTTCTCACTGCAGTGAGCCAACACACCATCTTATAACAGCAATGCGTCAAGATTTCTGGGCCTAAACCAACCTTAGGTCCGAGTCACCATGGGTTCCTTCAGTCATCAAAACGTGGTAGCGGGTTTATTCGGCGCAATGCGTGGAAATGGGATACATACCCCAAAAACGCATATTTTCAATGGGAAAGTGATATATGTATATATATACATATATATATATATACATATACATATATGATTTATAGTCCATTGGATTTGGGTGTAGATTTAGGTGCCCTCTATCAAGTATTACAACCAATTGATAGTTCACTCTGCATCCCATTTCTCCTGTGGGATTCCCCAAAAAAGTCTCGGGCCGCGGCGTTAGGCACCGAAGGTGCCGCCAGTCTCCCGAGCCATTGGATCGCGGGTGCTGGATTGGTAGCTTGGTGTAGCTGAACCAGGTGCTGAAAAATCAGGTTGGATCAGGAGGAGCTCCCCATGGGGTCCCTGGAAAGGTCACTGGTGTCATGGCGTCGCCATTGGCGTGAACGATCCAGGTCCATCATGAAGGGGTACCGAGCCATAGATTTTTTTTTAGATTGATCCTTTCCAAAAGGACATCATGAAGTACACCAGGATGACATGTTAGGGATCCATAATGGGACAGCTGATAGCTTTGTTCTATCAGTCTTGATACTGGTTTGTCATTGTGCTTGTGTTCAAAGGGAGTGCCCCAACATTCTGACCTGTACAGTTGAAAGGATGGTACCAGAGACAGTAAGTTTGCCATGCTTCCCCACAATCATTCTTGTGTTTCATCTCCAAGTTACCATTTCGTGAAGGGGAAACCCACAGTTTGCGTTGACAAGACCAAGGCTTGATAAAATCACCCCAAACACTATGGATCACACCTGTGAGTTTTCTTGCGTGTTTGTTCTTTCTCAGCCGGTTTTTGGGCAACTGGGTCCTCGGAAGGGATGATCAGTCTGTTTTGCCGACAGCAGCACACATCCTGGGAAAAAACTGCTTCCCGGGAAAGACAAGAACATATGCAGTTTCTGCATCTAACCTTTTTGCGTTGGATTGTTTTTCAAGGTTTTATGTTCAATGTTGTTATCATGGTATTCTTCGTTCCTAATTATCTGTCGGCATTGTCTTGGTTGGATTTTTTGGTGTTGCACCAAGGGCCGCAATGGTAGTGACAACTCACCACACTGAAATACTCATCAAATACTTGGATTGCTGGAAGATCTAGCATTTTTCATAAACACTATTCATAATATATATACATATATATGTAAACATAGATATGTACATATCCCATCCACTTTCAGTAACACCATGGCCATGGCCGTTGGTTTGTTGGTCCCTTGCTCGAGGCCTGCAGAGGACAAACCTTGGCACAACGGTGGCCAGCTGGGCATGCAGGTGGAGCTAGCCTTTGGCAGCTGGATGCCACCTGGCAACGGCTTGCCGGCAGATTCACTGGGCTTCCCACATCAAAAATGAATTTTTTTTTTGGTGCTTTCTGGTGATCAATTCATAGATTTACATATGGTTTATATATGGTTTATATATGGTTTATATATGGTTTATATATGGTTTATATTTGGTTTATATATGGTTTATATATGGTTTATATATGGTTTATATTTGGTTTATATATGGTTGTATTGGTTTATATATGGTTTATATGGTTTATACGGTTTATCCTGATATACCAGTTGGGATATTTTAGGGATGATGTGGAGAAATTTGATACCTTTTTGAACAGGGAACATGTTTTCGCGATGTTCATCCACTGCCGATCTACTGTATATTTGGTTTAACCTGCTTGACTCATCTAAAACTCACCCAATTCTCAAACGGTTTTTTCCTAGAATTGGGGTAGCCAAGCAGTTTGTTTCCAGAATAAGGATGGCATTGTGATGATTTTGGAGTCTCTTTCAGAAACCCAAAATTTTCACCCATCCCTAATGTGGTACACCGAGAAACCTACCGTTACCATTTGGGGATATTTTTGCAACCCTTTTATGATCATATTGGGGATGATTTATGGTTTTATGATGTTTTATGGTTTTGGGTCCCACATGAGTTTTGGGCTCCGCTAAAAACTCCCCTCGCCTGTCGAGGATGTGGCCCCTGCGGAAGGCCTTCGAATCCACAGCGTTGGAAGCGGTGAAGAAGAACATCGTGGACAAAGTAGGGGAAGCAGGTGCCCACTTTCGAGTCGTAGCGCTGTGGCACTCCGAAAAAGTCCAGTTGAAAGTGGTTAGTAACGGTTAGAAAAAGACATGAGCCAGCTTCTGGCACCAAAGTCTTCGGATGTAAGTTGTTGTACAAAGGTAACGACGGTTTCATCAGACCGAATCCTGAAGTTACTTGGGGGGCCAATGTCGTCATGAATCAGTCGTCATTGGAAAATGCAGAGCTGGGAACATCTGGAAAATCGTTGATGAATACTCAAAACGACGAGAAACTCAAAGTTTGATTGAATCCAAAATCTGAAGCTGAACAGAGACCAAGACATGAGGTGAAATTCTGAAAAGAGATGGAAAGACTATTGGAGAATTGGAGAATTGGAGCAGCAAAAGTGGCTGAAGCCATTTGTTTAGGGTCCAGTGTAAGATGCCTTCAGAAGTGGAGTTTTGTTACCACGAGCAACAATGACCCACCCTAAGAGCCATGATTTGCAATCGTGCACAAGGTTGGTCCTGAAAAAATGACCTTTCGCCAATACAAGTCAAGACTTCGACCTACAGCCACGACAAGATTTGGACAACCGTGACACGACGGGATTGTAAACTCCGCCAAAAAAAGGGCCAGCACCAGTACATGTCAGTTTGTCTTCTCAAGGTAATACATGTAGAGGTTCCTTTTACAAGAGGTTTCACAGAGAGTTTCAGGAACATCGCATGGTCCCTTTCGTGAAGTTAACTCCAATTTACCACACAGACTGTTACTGAAACATTCACAAATGTTGTGGTTGATATCCCCTTGTTTTCTGGTCAAGTCTCAATTTTTACTGACATCCTCACGTTTGCTGTGTCAAATCCATTTTTTGGTCGTTGAATTCTCTGTTTCTTAGAGTTTAAATATGTTTAAGTTTAAATGATCATTTTTTTTTGTGCAGCTGATAGGACCATTTTTGACAGATGAATGCCGCATGACTGGCTAGGTGTCAAGGTGGATGTCAAGTTGCGCCTCCTGGCCTTCAATAAGGGACCCGCACAGCTCCTGATGTTCAAGTGTTTTACCTATTTGGTGCTTAAAAGCTAAATTGCTATGGGTCAAAATTATGACCAAGATCATCAAGCAGAGTGTTTGATACTAAATTGTACTATGTTTTTTAAGTGTGTCCACTAATACTAGTATTTTGACTCAGACTCGAAATATACGGGAATCCAAACAAATATGGCAAGTCATTGGAAATCAACTAGTTAGTCTCAACCTTTTATTAAACCCCCATCCTAGACACTGTCTCTGGTGCAATGTACTGGATCGGGGGTTGATAGTTTTGACCCGTAGCTACATAACCACAGATAGGGAAACTAAAAACGAACATCGGAAAATAGGCTTTGAAACATCCGTTTTTGTAGGCTAAATTGATGGTAAGTGAGGGTAAATAGGTATTTCAAACGAACCATTTGTGGTAGGATCCAAGGCAGCTTGGATCCCTTTTCTGTCTTGGACCCCTAGATGGAAGATGCGAACATATACAGAAAGGATATGAAAGAAATTCATGGTCGTCAAAACAAAAATCAATATGAAAAAGACAGAATAAATACACGTCAGAACAGATAACAATTTGTTTTGACAAAATAAACAGAATTATGGTTACCAACATGTACAGCAGATACCCATCATTCCCCAGGGTGGGATCCCCTTGTCTTCCGAGCACCGATGGAATTTCTCCAAAAAACAAAAGATCCGCAGCTTTGATTGTTGATATTCTGGTCGCTTCGCGACGACAACCGCCCGGATCAGAGTGTTAGCTCCGGAGTTTCAATTAATAAAACCATATGTTCTATGTTGGGGCCGTTGAGCCATCTTGCGCCCATGTTGGGCCTATGTTGGGCCTATGTTGGGCCACGTTGAGCCCAAGTTTGGCAACTTAGCCGATTTTACGACGTTTTCCAAAACGTGGAAAAATACATAAAAATACAGGATTCTAGAGAAAAAATAGCCACCCCAAGCCCCCGTTTGCCAAAGTTTAATAGCTATTGCAATTGCTTTCGGTCAATGCACACAAAAGAAGCCTCGGCACCTTAGGTGGCGGACTTTATTGCATTAAACTTTAGTTATAACAGTTATACATTACATTCAAATACATTCAACTCAAAATTATATATTGAACTTATCCGTTCTAATATTTACATCTCTCGGGTCCCGAGTTGCTTTTTTGGGATGTCGAGGTCCTATGCTATGGTCACAGGAGTTGTCGGGCTATGTTTTGCCTCTCTTCATAGGCCTTCGAGGCCCAGGATTGGGAAATCCATGGTTTCTCCAACAAAAGGAGGACTTCACCAAGGAAACGCGAGACCGACCTAGAAACATGGTGATTGATGTGATTTTTTTCATGAAACAAGGGGATTTCACAGGCATAAATTGATGTTGACTAAGTTGACTAAGCAAAATCGTGAATTCACTCGGAAATCGTTGGGATTTCCTCCAGAAAAACTTGGCAAAGCAAAAATAAACATGGGGACACAGCCAGCCACTAGTGGGATGTTGGCCATGTTGGCAGTTCCGCGGAACTGGTGGGAGGTATCTCAGACTTCGATGACTTCAATCGGGAAAACCTGGAGAGCGTCAAGGTGCCAAATGGGGGACTACTCACAGTGGTGGCTGAATTCTGGTCTTTTTATCAAGAACAATCCTTATTTAATCAACAAAATATGGGAGAGATACAGGATTGGGAACCTCGATCCTCACAAAGATGCACATTACTCTCAGTTCTAACAGGTTCCAATTGGGTCTTATTTACATCTCCGCAGGATTTCTAGCGTAAAGATTTTCAGAACTGGTATATTTTGGGTTATGAATCCACATGTTGAGTGGTTTGACAATGGTATTCTTGGTTGGTTACATACCCGGTGAATCGAAGTTTTATCCAATGTTGTTGGTTATTTTGCGTCCTCATAGGAATGTTGTTGTTGGTTAAACAGCCAATTTGTCCCAACGTGTAATCATAGTTTATCATTTTCTCCACTATTCAATAGCCATAGATTGGGGATATCCACCATTTTTGATAGATCCACATCCTTTGCTGTTGGTTATTGGATTACATCCCTGGTATTACGTCTCCAATACATCCCCAATAATGTCGAAGAAATTTGTTCCCCCTATGGGCCCATGGTTCATCATGGTTCATCATTGGAACATCATTGGAAGCCTGTTGTTTTTCGCCATCAACTTCAATCCCCCATGAGGTGTCCAAACATATTGGTGTACCCCCAGTTCTCCCGATTTTAGATGAGGATTTTTCACATCCAGCGGTGCCATTTGTTGAAACCCCAGGCCACCTTGCTGCAGAATTCTCTGGAGGGCGAAGCCGGACCCGGTGGAGTGGGCTATGCCACCGATGCGGAACCTATGGAGGCGATGACAGACGGCGGAAATTGCGGGAAGTTCTGGCAGGATGTTTCGCGTAATTTATGGCATTACCGGTAACCCATAGTTCAAACAACCAAGGTTAAAACAACCAAGGACATATGGATTTAACCTGATTGATCTAGAAAAAATTGGAAATTAAGAACAGTTTAGAGTTTTTCTTGCAACACAAATGAGGATTTAACGTCGAACATTTGGGAACTTAATATCAACATATGGGGTAGCCATTATTTCGTGATGACTGCCGGGGGTGGAATGAGATCTATAAGCAAGAATATCAGAGGTAAGAGGAACCAACATGAATGCAGTTGTAGATAAGATGAATCAGAAAAAACTGTTTCAAAGGAAACGAAATGAATTAAGAATAGCAACCCAGCAACATATGGGGAAGATGTCAACCACAGGGACAAAACCACCAGGTGCGCATGCGCAACCAGGTGGGAGATGCCTTGAAGAGCGTGAGCATGAGGAATGTGAGCAGGCGTGTTTTTGACATGGCTTGTGGCTGATCAAAGAATGGTTCTGATTGAATTTGCAGTGATCAGATCTGGACTCCCAGATATGTTGTTTTCTTTTTTCCAGGGTAATGTGTGATTCCTTTTTCTTGCGACCACGACAATCTCCGGAAAGCCATGGTTTCATGTTCAAAGTCTACCTGGTTTTTTGTCTGGAAAGAACACAATTTATTTTGTCATCCCTATGTGGAATCAGTTGCTCCCACTTTCATAGCTGTCCTAATTGTGAGTCTTGCCTCATGCGATTAGTTGCTTGTTGTTGTGATGTCCACATATCGTCGTATTATATGGACTATATGGGTAAAGTTTTTTTCTACATGGTTTGTTAACTAGTACAAGGGCTGTTTCATCCTACTTTCATCGAGTTGTTCACCCCAAAATTTCCCAGGGTGAAATCCATTGATCTTGGCAGTTTCCAGCTACAGCTGGACGTGCAATTCTGGACGGAGCCCCTTCTGGCCAAGGTGCGGTGGGGTGAACGGCACCACTGAGATCCATGGGATATGGTTGATATGACCATTAAAAAAAACTGTGGGTAAAACAACCATCAGCCACCCATGACGGAGAATGGTAGTTTATACATGTCTTATACCACCTATAACAATGGTGATTTTCCTGGGGGATTATGAAATTCGTTAGGGCTCATGGATATCAGCTGGTCATGACAAACCATTGGATTCCAACACCCCTTTTTGGAACAGTCATTATTTGCGAGCCTGATAACCAAGGTTTTTCGGAATCCCAAAGTAGATTTGTCAGTTGGAATTTCCAAGGACGATACATCGTTGAAGAATGGAACATCGCAAGGATATTCACCTTTAGCAAAGTGATGTAACGTAGGATGATCCTGGCAGCCAGCTCAGCAACTGGGTCCTCAAAACTGTCATTATCTTTGTTCCACTTATCCATTCCGGGCCTATCTTTATACTTACCCAGTAACATCGCCTGAACATAATCCCCATATCCAAGATCATTCAACATCTCCAAGTTTGATCCAAGATCATCGTAAAATTATCCAAGATAATACCCAAAACTACCCAAGCGATGTCTCCTCCCAATAATCCAATCGTTTCTTGCTCCCAACCGTTTTTTTCCCCATGGAGTGCAGGAGTCTGCAGAGGAGAAGGATCTGCCCAAGATGTTGTGGGAGAAGATTACAGGCACCCTGCGGCCATTCTGACTTGGCCCCGGATCTTATAGCCGATTATAGCCATCGAGTCCCAAGTTAGACCATTTTAGCTGAGAAGTGAGTTCTAAAGCGTTTGAGAGTGACGCAATTTGTGACCTTTTGGTCATGGGAAAGCTGGAGAATACACCATTTACTTCGATGATCCCGGAGATGCCCCAACACATTAGAGATGAATCCGGCGAAAAGAAATCCAAGACAGAAATCCAAGAATCGGAAATTCAAAACCGAATTGGAACAACATTTAGATCTAAAAACATATTTAAGTTTTACTAGGTAACATATATTTATTGGTTTAACAATTATCCCAATGTCTTTCCTATTATTTCAGGTGTAAGATTCAGTGCAAGATCCCATAGATTAAATCTGAAACTCAGTTGTTCCCAAACAATTGGTTGGTTTTTGGGATGTGTTTTGGCAGGTGAGTACTGGCGGAAAGTCCATGATAGTGGTATCGCTTGGGTACCCAGTGGAAATGGTGGAACTGGAACCCACAAAGTTGAAAGGCTTCCATTGTGGGACATTGAGCCATAGAAATCCACAGCGGATGCTCCACTGCGAGGTTTTTTCGAGATGAACTGAGTTTGTAGTCTAGCCACGAGTGCAATTTTGTGGGAAACATGATGGTTGGGTTGAAAACATTATGGATTTACTGTAGGGGGAACCATTTTTTTGGACAAACACAAACGGGGATTGGAGTAGCACAAGGTCGTGGACGAACACCCGCAAATTGTGGGTTCAGAAACGCAAAGATCGCACCACAAAAAGGCTCACGAAAGGACGGTTTCAGCCTGATGTTTGCTGGAAATTGCGTTCCTAACTAGGTGCCGAACATGTTGTTTGTGTTTGTTTAGTTTGCGTCACCAAAGGCAGTCTAGTGGCTGTGCTGAGGATCTCTTCATCGCCAGTCCCGAGTACACCGAGGTGCAGAAGGGGGTGGACTTCACAGCCGTTCAGTCAGTCGTTATATCTCCTTGTTGGCAAACATCTATGTGTCATTGCTTTGGCAAATGTCCGCTGATATAAACCGGAGTAAATTTTCGGGCAGGACTGAGGGTTGGCCCGGAATCGAATTGTTAGCATCCCAAGGAGGCTCATTTCACTCCGCACGTGCAGTGCTAGTATGTCCCAAGACGAATTTCCAGAAAAATCAGTCGGAAAAATGAACCCTCTGCAGACTTCATGCGTGTCGCCCTTGTCCCATGTTTCACTTTTTTGGTTAGTTGTTCCATGGGCCGGGGGATTTTTATCACTGTAAAACCTAATCCCTGGTGGGATGATGGTTTCAATGGGTTGCTGACGCACTCGGGGTTGGTGGGTAAATTTTGCTGACACTGGGGTTCGTCAAATCCAGTTTTGCAAATCGAAAAAAAAAACATGGTCCCAAATCCATACATGTTTTAAGACGTTATTGGGGTGTTGTTGGATTGAATTTTTGACATGTATGACTTCCCATTTTTCTTAAGCTTAACTCATTTTGTATGTGAACACCAACCACCAATGAACCGTCGATTTAGCCAAGACTCCTGGATCGTAGACTGTCACGATTTTTAGGGGTATCAAGTTGTATCAATGTCAACCCTGGATCAATAAACCATGATGAATTATGCCAGGGTTCGATTCTTCGCCCATTTGCTGTGCTGAAATGGTGGGGCATGGGAAGAAAGTCGGGATGTTTCCCGAATGCATAGCGAAGGGTTCTCATTTTACTTTGGGGGTCTGGGGGTTGAGACGTGTTCGCCCGTTGTTACTTTTTATGTTCGCCGCCGTTCGCAACCGCCCGCAACCGTCCGCGGACGTCCGAAGTGAGGGCAACATGGCCGTGCCTCTGGCAACATTTTCTGTGGCAGGCGCAGCACTTTGGAGACCTCCATCATCCTTTTGCGTGGCAGGCGTGGGACATCGTGAGAGCGTCATTTTGTGTGGCAAGCGGCAGGCGCAGCATGTGGTGAATCTCCGCCGTGTGTGGAATGTTATGTTGCGTGGCAGGCGCGGTATTTGGGACACTTTACACTTTACACTTCCCACTTTACACTCCACACTCTACACTTCACACTTTACAATTCACACAATCTTCTTTACACTCCACACTCTACACTTTACACTTTATACTCCACACTCTACACTTCACACTTTACACTTCACACAATCTTCTTTACACTCCACACTCTACACTTTACACTTTACACTCCACACTCCACACTTGACGCTTGACACTCTACACATCACATTCACTCTTTACGCGGCTCCTACTGGGCTCCAGTTTTTCGAGCGTGCATCATATAGAGAGACAAACATAAGGATAGATAAACAAGCACGCACACACACACACAAATGTATTTACATTTTTTACCACAGACATACCATACCATAGCGTACCATACCATACCGTACCGTACCGTACAATACACAAACATTATACATATACACATGTATGTTGTTTTTCTTTGGGACAGGTTCCCCCTCCAGGTCTTGGCGGGTACCGATGTCCTTGCCCGCGGGCTGGACATCAAGTTCAGTGGACTGGTGGTCAACTTCGGCGCCGCCAAAAGCAAGGATGACATTTGAGAAGAGGGTCATTTCTTTTTTTTTTTGGTTTCCCTGCTTCTCCGCTTCTCCACCTCTTTGCCTTTCCCTGCTTTTCCCTCCTTCTCTGCTTTTCTGCTTCTTTCCTTCTTTGCTTCTGCGCTTTTCTGCTTCTCTGCTTTCCTACGTTTCCCGGATTTTTTCTCCTTCTCCAGACTAAACAAGCGGTAAGAAACATCATAAGAATAAACCCTAAACCAACCCTTCAAGCCTAAATCAACGCCAAATCAATCCCAAAAACCATTAACGCAACCCTATGTAAACCCTAAAAGAAGTTTAAATATATCTGAAACTTATCCCAGATAGACCCTGAACCAACCCTAAATAGATCCTGGCCCAACCCTGATTTCGAACCAAACTTTAAAAAACGAACTAAAACAAAATAACTTTTCAAACCGAGGCTTAAAAATAAGCCCAAAGAATATCCCCAACAGCAAGAAAGCAGCGGCCGTAGATCCCAAACAGTAATTCCATATAAGCGTGGTAGTTTTTGTTTCATGACCAAGCAATGCAGTGCATTTTTGCGCCGTCCTACCGCCCGCTTCCCCTACTACTACTACTGCTACTGCTACTACTACTACTTCTACTTCTACTTCTACTTCTCTACTTCTACTACTACTACTACTACTTCTACTACTACTACTACTACTTCTACTTCTACTTCTACTTCTACTTCTACTACTACTACTGCTACTGCTACTGCTACTGCTACTACTACTACTACTAATCTACTATTACTACTACTACTACTACTTCTACTACTACTACTACTCCTACTACTACTACGACTACTACGACGACTACTACTACTACTGCTACTACTACTACTACCACCACT